CTGCAAATTAAACCAAGTCGTGTTGTGTTGTACGCACTTTTAAATTTTCTTACATTAATTAAATTTTTCTTAAATAAGATTTTAAATACCTGTAAATTAAGACCCACCCGATCTATGGATCAACCTCTACTGTCGGTGCTTGGTTTCAGATCTTGCACTAAAAAGTACAAGGTTTTCGGCCATATAGCTAGCCCTAAAGCTTTTTGTTTTAAAGCCCGTTGCAATGGCCTACCCAACGCTGACCTTTTCATACAACCTGCAAATGGACCGCACCGCCCATAACGTCGATCCTGCCATCAAGTTCGGAGCTAGATTTGAAGACTCAAGGTCATCCTCGAAAAAGCCCTGTTCGTGGTGATGAAGATCGCCACTCCAGAAATGCAGGAGTTTTTGCAGAATTCAACCTGAAGTGCCTTCAAGACTTCCCTGCCTGAAGGCTAAAGCTACTGCCATCGCAGCACCCGTGAAACCTGCTATCCCCGCTGCTGCTAAGGTGAAAGAAGTAATGATTGTTGAGGATCCAACTGAGGAATTAAATATCCCACCACCCGTGTTTGAAATCGGGTCAAGCTCAAGGATTGTACCACTGACTCGAACTCAAAGGAGGAACCGCAACAGAAGGGTTCAGGGGGTCATCAAAGCCCAGGATCCTAAAAAGACACCTGTTGAGGAGTAGCCTCATCAAGTTGAAGAAGTCTTACCGGAAATTTATCCACTCTTGCGAGGAAGTAGATTCCATTCTCTGACAGATACAAATGGATATGAGAGTATCCAAAGGATCGCTGCCGCATTAACGTCACTTCATGGGCACAGTGAGGAGGAAAAGAAGTTCACTCCTATCACCCGAGTTAGTGCTGTTTTTAGAAGGCTTGCTACTAAAGAAGGATGTTCGGTTAACGAGTTACTTAAATGAGTGGGAGATTCAATTTCTCCTTGCATGAAGAGGGAAATTTTGGAAGGCATCTAGTCTGCCAGATAGTCCCGCAAAAAAGCTAGAGTGCCACCTACTCGCATATCCGTTTGGTTTCATTTGGGGAACAGAGTTGATACCGCAGTGATTACTACTGATCATACTGCCACCAGGACCACAGACCGTCGACCGGTTAAGTCGAGACTGGGTCTGAAGATCTTACTCGTCATTCCTGCAATGCCAGAGATATGAACAAAGCGATTACCTGACACTGTAGCCGGTCTACACCACGGGGAGCATACCTCCCCTCGATGTATCAATGTTTCTACTAAGACGCCCCGTCCCGAGACATTATGGTCGAAAAAGAAGAGGGTATGGGTACTGTTGACCTCACATTTGGTTGAGGTCTATAAATTTCTTTAGTAGCCTAGGTCTAGCCATAGGATTTTCCTATAGACTAGTCTTAGAAAACTAGAAAAAGGTACCCTCACAATTAGAAACTCAAAACTCTTCTCTTTACTCAACTTGAAGTTCCACATATTGGTCCTAACCTCTAATATTTAGTAGGTAAGATCATTATGGGGGAAGCTCAAGAAGAGTTCCTATAGGGCTACTTGGCCTTAGGATTGACCCTGGGTGTTGACTTGGAACTAGGGTACACCATA